GCTGAAATCTGGAGTCCACACTAACGTTCCCCTTCCTATTATTTCTATGCGACGGGAGATAACCGCAAACTCTAGGACGGCAACCAATATAGAGGGCACGACCTCCCCTAGAGTGTATATTATGAGTTGCTTTGTTGATAAGGCCAATAACGCAATAATTTAGATTCCAGTAAGAGGGCATTAGCACCAATCTGCAGAGCCCATTTGATCGCGCGATTGCAATGTGGGGCTTCTTACCTGTAACTCGTGTCGAAGCAACTACCATCATAACTCTCAATACACCAGTAAGCAGCTTTGAGTTTAGACCTATCGTTAACCACTACTTTAAGTGATGTCGTCAGAGTACGTTGACTACGTTATTCCGGATAAAATTTTATACGGAATACTATTTAATGTAGGATCGAAGTGCTAATTCCTTTCCATGGGATATAAACCTTAAGCACTTGACACAATATGGCAATCAAAAATATACCTCCGCCTTGTTATCTCACGCCCACGGCAGCAGGCTCGCAGTCCAAGGGGTAGCTGCGACATCTGAACACGAACAGCGCGCTATGTATTCGAGTTCGTCAAAACTCGGTTGGAGTCTTCGACATTCACGAAGACCTTGAGGACAAGGTTTGTCTCGGGTTTCCAAATGGCCTTGATTTTATTTACCTCAAACAGGCCTGAGTGAATGTACATAAATTTAAGATTTTCCGCTAGTATGTGTTTGGCTATAAATTCCAAACTGCTCATTAAAGTATCCAGTGTAAATAGAGCCATGCGCGGCTTTGCTACAGTGTGGCTAGAAGATACGATTCATGTATAATGTTTCATCGATAGAGGGTACGGAACGGACCCGTGGAAACCCGTTCTTTGCAGCCACCGGACATATGTGAGTTTTCAGGTTAGACCAACCCCCTGCCAAGGCAGGGGCACTCCTGTGAACGGTACAGATCACTGTTCGAATAAGGCGTCGTATTTCTTCTTGACCCCGGCAACTGTGTCAGCAGCAACAATATCTGGGGGGATTGTTTCATGTATTCACGGCACGCCTTGAGAGTTGATAGATGTGTGGGAGGCTATCTGTCGCTTGTACCACCAGTTTAAAGAAGTGTCCGCGCGTAGGTATGCCAACGGCCATTTTGAAGTACTCTGCTATCTCCGAGATTTTGCCGCAAACGATCACTTTGTACAGCATGATTTGGTCGCCTCTGGAGAGTCGAAATTCGAGGGTTAATAGGTCCAATGCTTTACAGCACTCCGAATATGTCAGCCACCTTACTTCGGGTACCATTCTTGACCCCAGCCGTTGCACATATTCGATATCGGTCATCTCGCCCTTCGTACGCGGGAACCAAGCGGTAGATTCATACTCCATGATCGGCGGATGAATATGATCATAAGCTTGCGGTATAACTGCATGGACCAGGAAGTGAATGCTCTTTTGAACATCCAAAGTAGTGCTAGTCCCTTGTGTCTCGCCAGAGTTGATTGTTCTCGGGTTTTGAGGTCGTCTTGCATGATAACGCCCAAGTTACGAGTACTCCTAACAGCTGCCACTGTCATGTTGCCCATTGTAGATAGTGGGTGGTCCCGGTTTCTCCCAATTATCAGCAAATGTGATTTTTTTACGTTGACTGGTATCTTGATCTCCAATGACCATTCATGGATCATATTAAGATCCTTTTA